GTATGGGCTCCCATAAAAGAGCCCATCACCTGGGCCAGGCCTGTGCTATCATATGGTAAAAGGTCAACAGAAGAAATTGACTCACTTACCCACAATACAATGTGATTTATTCGTCGTGGGAAGTGCGTATTTTAGACACTGGTGTTTCTAAAGAAAAAGAGAAAATCTTTTTGTTGTGATTTAAATCACTTTTTCACCAACAACAGTTTTTTTTTATAAATATTTGCAGAGTGAGACATTAGAAGCTCGTGATGCAGCTGGATCAAACTATATAAATATTTGCAGAGTGAGACATCAGAAGCTCGTGATGCAGCTGGATCAAACCTGGGGTCAGGGACCAGGTGGAGTACTACCCCTGCACCACTCCAGTCCTCTAACACCTTGTTATTTGGAGGTATCAGCTGGTGTAAGGTTACAGAGGAATTTCCAGGGATTCAGAAATAGCGTCATGATATTTCTGGATAGTTTGGGTCAAATTAAGGAGTTTTATTAGAAAAGTGACTTCACTCAGAAAGACACAAACCTCCAAACACAACCATTAATGGGAGAAAAAACTGCAAATATCTACAGAATGTCTTGGCTGGAAATATTTGCTAAGGAGGATAGTGCTGCTGCCTCACTGATAACTGGTTCACTAATAACTAGTTCACTGGTAACTGGTTCTGATAACGGGCTTTTCCAGGTCCTCCCAAATTAAAACCCTCCAGGTATTTTAAATGTTTCTTTAAACATGCAAACTCTGCTTGATAATAGAATATATGAAGTATGAAGTTTTTTGTTTTTTTTTACTATTCCCTGTAGTGATTTGTGTAATATGTCCTCCAGGGAAAGCCCACAATGCCTGGCATGATGAAAAAGTAGAAAAGTCAAGGTTGTGACTGTTGCTAAAAAAGAAACCATGTGCATGAGCCAACGCTTTTTTGTCCAGGTATCAGCGAGTCCTGGAAGAAAATAAACAAGGGCAAAATATGCTGACAGGGAAATGAGCAATGTTTGCACAAAGCAGAATTTGAATATGCAGACTTATGGAGCCTTAAGAATAGAGGAGATGAGCAGCTGCAGGGTTTAGCTGAGCAGACATTACTGCAGTTTTCAGCCTGGAGTGTACACACAATGTAGGAGGTCTGTAGTCATAACCTAAAGGTAAACCAGGCAGTCATATCACAGACCCCCCCCCCACCCTCCTCCCCCACTCCCACGTGCTTATGTTTTCAGATGCTACTCGTTAGTTGCTGATTAGCGATTAGCTTTCTATTCCAATTTCCAAGGCTTTTAAAAGAGAAAAAGAAACTGCAGAAAATAAATATTCTGACAAGTTGTCCTTAAACTGCAGGAAGTTTACCCCACCACCAACGCTCCTCTCACCCCCAGCTGCATCAAACACTCACAGTTCCTCTGTTCAGTACCCAGTGTTCCTCCTACTCAGATGTCAAGGACAGAAGCTTTGCTCTTGTACAAACTGGCCGACTGTACTGTCGGTGTCCTCATTACTGGCTCACTGTGTTTGTGTCACACATCAGAAATGTTGTACTGTACAAGAAATGGACCAAGGAGACGTGTCATCACAGAGGACACGGTCGCGGCTAATTATCTAGTTGTGGTAAAAAGTTGAATGCAGGGTTTGGAAGAATTTTGTTTTTGTTTTTGTTTTTAAATATAGTTGAGTTAGAACTGGACTTTTTATACATTTGCATATATATGTATATATGTGTAAATTACATTATATTACATTACATTGAGAAGACACTTTTATCCAAAACAACTTATAATTTGTGACCAATAGGGGGCAGGATTTTTGCGAAAGCTCAATTCTCTGCAATTCCAGTTCCTGAGTGACGCAGCAGTAATCAACAAATTTTTACTAAATAAAAGCCGGTTATCAACAGACGTTTTCAATAATAAAAAAAATGTAAAAAACTGCCTTAAAGCACAATAACATAATTGCTGGCATTAACTAATGAGTTAACGCGATAATAAAGTTTATCACACATATATACACATATGTGCATATATGTGTGTGTGTATATATATATATATACATATATATATACATATATACATATATATCTATCACAGAGCTACTGGAAGCAAATAAATGACTCCCACGAGTGGTTGGGTACTGTCACAAATGCATTCTGGGAAGTTCCAATAATTTCGAAATGTAAGGGTTGATCCCACATGTGCCTCCAAACACTGTTTCCTGATGGTAAAAAAAAGCTCCCAGATTGCAGAGATCACATGTTCCTGTGTCTATTCCCCAGAGTTCAAACTGATGCAGAGATTAGGATAAATATGAACTGAGAGAAAAGTTTTAAATTAAGTTTTGTCTCTGTGATGGAGTGGCCACATTTAGCTACAAAGGCCCACCAAGGAGGCAGACTAAAAGGATATAAATAATGAAAAAGAAAAATGGAAAAAAGTTGATCAGACTTATGTGAATGTGTTAATGTGAATATTTCACAGTGTTTTTGAAATCTATTTAAAAATAGGTAAACCTTCAGCAGCCTCACAGGCTGTGACCTCTCTTCTTCTCTGTCACTTGTGCACATTTCACTTTCTAAACTTCCCGTCACATTGTGTAAACGACACAGATGGTGTTTTGCACACCACCTGCTAATGTTTTTTCGTTGCACCTGCAGGATACAGATCCCTGTCCCGTACAGCGTCACTGCTGTCTGTAATGTGACCCATTAGTCATCGCATGATGGTGTTGTGACACAAACAAAGTTATTTATTGGTAACAATAAGAAATAAAATCAAGGAGGAGACGATTCCTCACAAAACGCTCCCTTGAGGAGGATGTACAAAAGAACTGCAGCTGTGACAAGATTCAGTCTGAAAAGAAAACAACAAAACAAACAAAACAATTGTTTAAACACAGCCTTTGACGTCTCTACCTTGTGAAATCATATGAAAATCTTTTTTCATTCTATTTAATGTTGAGCGTGGCAAATGATTGGTAACTATTGAAGTCATGATGTCGCCATAAACAAATGTTTTGGACAAACAAATTAAAAAATGAATTATTATTATTAATAGTCAGCCTTGAACAGAAAATATAATAGAAAATAACTGCAATATACAAAAATAAGATATTTAATTAACTAATGCATTCAATCAAAACAAATGTGAAAAACTGGGCTAATTGTGTGAACATGAAAGAGGTGAACGAGTTCAACAAGTTCCTGATCTTATTCTGCTTCACTGAGTCTATTCATACACAATGACACAAACAACTAAACAGACGCCAGAGGAAAAAGCTGAATGGCTGTGTCTTCCTTTGCTAGGTTCCGTCGTCAGACTCAATGTCAGTGTTAGCTTCTCCCGCACTGTTTGATTGTCACTTCTGGCTGCACACTTTATAATCTGGAATTCTTTATGGAAGTAACAATGTTGTTTCTATTGTATTTATGGATTAAAAAAAGTCCTAAATGTTAGCTTCTCCCGCACTGTATTTATGGATTAAAAAAAGTCCTAATAATTTAGTTGTATAATGTCTTTTAGGTGCGCTACAACAGTGTCCAGTTGTAATGACTGTAGAGCGTGCCCTCTAGTGGCTATAGATGATTTGGGGTATGTTTTTGATATACAAGTCGCAGGGTCAACAAGACTAATACAAATGTGTGACTTGTCTTTAAACAGAGCAGAAAATCCAGATTTTTTTTTTTCATTTTATGACAACAAACCCGTCGTTTCATTCAATGTCAAAGGAAATCCACAGAAATAAAGAAAAAGAAAATTTGAGACGGAGAAAACAATCTAAAACACACGACATTGATGAGTCACCTGCACAAGAAAGTTTGAAGTAATTCAGGGATATCACTGTTCAAACCTAAAGTATTTAAATCCAAGAGCAGAGATTGTTGTGAAAGTCGAGTCTGACTTTGTCGTGTCTTTATATTTTGCGTAAATCCTGGTCATTTACAGAGATTTACAATCCAAACCCCCTTCAATAAAACCAAAGTTTTCGATCTGATAGTACTGCACAGAGTATCATTTCCCCATTGTTTACACAGCAGTACTACACTTATAAACTGTCATGAGCTGTGAGAGTTTACTGCCGTAAACAAACGAGCAACTCTCCCCAAGACTCCCGGCAGTAATCAACTCATATTGTTACTTTTTGAAGTGGTGAAAAACAAAAATTTGAGATATGTACATAAAACCACAGTAGAACCACAGGAAAAGCAGCCAGTTCAAACCAGTTTATAAATTCAAGACTAGTAATAAAGAGACTATCATCAGAAACTGTCTGCATCAGTCTGTCATCAGTTTCTATAATAAATGACTGACTGACAGCTTCAGCCAGACTGAACATTCAGGTTCTTCCTCAATTAGCACCTTCATTAGGTTTTAGTAGAAAGATTGGGTTTAAAGGAGCATCGGTAAATAAAAATTGTTTAAGGAAGTGAAGACATTATGTTGAAGGTTCCAAAGATGGGGACTGGTGGCCTTCATGGGGACACATACGTTCTGAAAGCGGGAATCAACAAGGCAAAACAAATATGATGAATATTTTCTGAATTATTCGTAGACTTGTCTTAGTACCCTGCACTTGGAGGCGGGAAAGACGGTCTGGAGACTTCATTAAAGCATGCTGGGCATTGGGGTGCTATCTTAAAGTCCAGATTCCAGGGCTAATATGAGTGTAAACACTCTGCGCCCGGGCCTGTTACGGTGCTATTGGATGAGGTGGTCCAACCTCGGAACACAGGGCCATTGACAAGACATTAGGGGCCTAAAGGGGACAGGAGGGAGGGGGCAATTGGCACTTTAGTGTAGCACGGAGCATCTTGAGCTTAATGTGCTTTGGTGAAACTAAAACTCACAAAACTATATCGACTGTGTATCAAAAGTTTAATCAGACTAATTCCACATGAACTTATGCGACTTAGGTGTTTGTTTCCACAGCTTTGATACTGTCATTCTGTTTCCTTAGATCAGTAGGAGCGGTACAGGAGACTCAACAACAGTTCCATCTGATCAGCGATCGGTCTTACCTGGTGGGTGGCTGGGGACCCTTCGTCGGCCCGTGGATGAGCTGTGCATTATATGCTGGTAGTGAGACATGTCCTTTGGTGTGTTGGGGACACGGAAACTGTCCTGGAATCTCTGCATCAAGTCCTCCACTGATTCGGTGTTTGGGTCCAAAGCTGAGAAGATGAGACGTGAAGAATGGTAATTATGATAAAGAATTATTTTCCAGCTCGTCCCTCCACCAGGGGTGACCAGGGATCAACGCAATAATTATATTCATATTATATAATTAACAACAACAATAATTATTATTATTATAGCGAGGTGCACTATCACCAGCCTGCCCTTTTCATGAACATTTTTTTTTCTTCCCTTTTATTCTTTTTTTCCCCCGCGGTCTTTAAATGATTCCAGCTATTCATTATTGAGTCGTCACTGCAGGGTTCCTGCCAGTTCGACCCCTGACGACTCGGTCTCGCTCTTCCTGATGAATGACTCCAAAACAAGTGGCAGTAGAGTGAGAGACTTCGCAAACCCCTTTTTCTTTCATTTTGAATGCACAAAAGAATAGCAGAGGGAATCGCTGCGACTCGTCGAGACCCGCGTCGGCTCATTAAAGCCAGCGAAGGGATTAACGGCGAATCGCAGTCGGCAAGAGACAATAAACAAGGGCACAAGTGTCAGCTGCTTGTGACAAGGACTCTTCCATATTTGATCTCCTTTTTGACGTGTCTATCCTGTAATACAGAGACAATTTTATTGTTTTTTTTTGTTTTGTTTTTTACTTTTTATCTGCAAATAGACTGTGCATAATTTATGAGGTGTTAAATAAGCAGACTTCAAAAGACACAGCATCCATCACTGGCAATAGTACCAATTATCAAACTTCGTCAACATCTTTTGATGTGCCATCATGGCTTTAAGGTGAAATGTTGCTCCTATTACATCAGTGGTTTGCAAAGTGAGGGGCGGGTCCCTCCAGGAGGACATCACTATTATGGTTGGGGGCTTTTTTTTTTTAGATTTCTGGAGGAAAGCTAACATTGTTCTTGACCTCACACGAGTTCACGTTACAGTAACACGGACCTTAAACATCTGTTTGATTGTTAGGAGAAACATTGGCGAGAACCGTGACAGCAGCAGTGGTTGTCGTAAAATTGGTAAGAAAAAAAGTCTTCCATTTTTACACAGTGATTTGTTTCAGATATTTTATCTTTCTACAAGTAGGTGGCGATCTTTACAACAGTGTTTTTTATGTTTCTAAAATATTCTTCAACAGACAGTTGACCTTTCTTTCTTAAAGAAAACTCATTGCATTTTTTAAATAGATTTCTCAAGATTCAGAACTATGAGTATATTCACAAATAATTTAAGCCTTTTTTTGTTTTATTTTTTACTTGTTTTGAATACGAGGTTAAGTTTAAAAGTCAGATGATACTGTATTATTTCTAAAGATATACAATTTAATTCCCTGAAACAGGAAAAGACACGTTTCTCAGGCATCTCCAGTGACAGCTTTAAAAAGTTTCCAGAGTTGAGGTGAGTTTCGTTTAATTTCATCAGCTTTTTCAGAAGAAAATCACAATCAGTGCAAACTTCTGAATGAAACCTAAATGGAATCATGTTAAAAATTGAAAAGTGTTGGAACATTTATTAATCCAACCCTACCTGTTTGTTTTTCTGAAATTAAAAAATATTTTTGAAAAGAACTTTATTTTAGTTTTTTGACAAAAGAGAAGAGAAGAATAGGTCGTGACCTGGTGTGAAAAACATCCACTTTTCTATGAAATTCCCTGATGGAAACAACTCCTGCTGGAGTGGAGTGGAGTTTTTAATTCTATTTTTATGAACAGATTTTTTCACTTTGTCTTGGTCATTTTTTAATTAGTGTTTAGTTTATATTCTTCTAATGACATATACAGTATATCACCTGTCATTTCATCGTCAGTGTAGCTGCTGTGTGAGCAACACTGCTGTGTTTGACATATCACTTTTTTAGCTGCTGATACTACAGTACAATATCATAAAACCTAGAATTATTTACATTTTTTCAGTGTTGTCTGGTCTGCTATGCATAAAAAATAAACCAAGGCAATCAAGTGAATGGCCTCTACCTTTATATCTTTTCATGAGAAATAATTCATTCAATTCACCTATGAATGTTTAATGAGATTACAATGACATTATTATATTTAAAAAATTGAACCTTGGGTATTCAATTCGAGCAAGCTGCTTACATATACATATATACACTTATATATAAATATATATACATATATGTATACAAAAATGTATATAGGTATATATACATATATACATATATGTATACATGTATATATATATATATGTATATGTATACACAGTTAAGCATTTATTTCAAACCAAGTCACTGCTGTTAAGATTAGACTAATTTCCTGTTGCAGGGTTTGCTAATAAAACTGACGGAAATTGTTCTCAAACAGTTTCCTAGCAACAGTTAAAAAAAATTCAACTTTTTCTTATGGAAACAACTTCTATACGACCAATTCCAGGTGCGATTATTAATATAATGATAAAAAACATATTCATTTTGTTGTGATTGCTGTTCGACACACATGCCCATTAGGTCTCCTGTTGTGAGGCCATTACACTCCTGCTGAGTGGCCGTTGGCTCCACACAGCATCTCACACATTTGCACACATTGTAAATAACCTCGGCCTGTAAGTGCTGCCGCCCGTACTTTTATTTGGTATGGTAATTAGCTTGATATCTACCAGAGAGAAACATTCACTCCAGTGCCGTTAGTGCATATATATATCCTGGTTTACACAACAGTGGGGATTTCTTTCAATTATGTTGTCTTCACACATGGGAACGTCTTGCACCTCTCCAACTTTTGTATCTCCTCTCCCCTTTAGTTACATCTGCATCTAATTAAAAGCCTCTCTGAGCTCCACTGAAAACCTTCATATTATCACACGGTGATAATTCCATTCAAACAGGTGAATTCTACTTCCTGTAAAGTCCAACATGTGGAGATGAGATGGCATCAGACTGCAGCAGAAAACACGATCTCAGTATAGATTGTATTTTCGATACATGGCGAAGCGCTTCCATTGTTAGAACATGAAAGAATAGAAGTTGCCCCTTCACTCACAACCAGAAAATGACACTCTTGTGTGGAAAAAAGACGAGAAAAAAAAGAAAAAAACAAAACAATTTTTGTCCATTCTCTGTCCTCGTGTACAACACAGCGTGTCCTTGGTAACGAGAAATAATGGCTGCTGTGAAGGTGCTTTCTCTATTATGCAGTAGTATTGCAGTAAGTAATACTCACTGTATGCCTAGTGTGGCCAGATCAGAAATGAAGAACTGTTGTACTGTCTCTTTAAATAGATTGTATTTCTAACCCAAACTACTGTATGCACTAAAGAACCTTAAACAACACATGCTAAAACTAGTATGTATATATTAAAACTTGAAGGACCTACTTCTATTACAACTTTTGCACACAACGCTTCCATCATGACCTACTGCATGAAACCCTGTCTAGAGTTTTAGGAGTATTTCAGTAGATACTAAGTTGAAACAATGCAAAAGACCAAAAGTCATTCCAAAATGTCTGTTTCAAACATTGGAAAACTGAGTTTAGACAGAGACCAAGAGACTCTCTTCATTTCTGTTTTGCCACAAATACTGATACTGTGTCATCACTCTTAATAGACTGATATTTCAGTCAAATACTCGTACTAGTACTTGACCGTGTTTGAACATACCGCAAATCAAGTACACAAATTGTACACCGATTAGTTTAAATTTAAAAAAGAAACACGTAAAACCGAAGTTCTTCAGTCCAAAGTACAGACAACTACCTAACTGTTAGCTTCTATAATGTGGTAGTTGGGCAGGGCATAAAAGCCAGTGTGTCGTTTTAAAGTTTGAACTTCTCTCTGTTTCTGGGATTGTTGTTTTTTTGTTTGGACGGATGAGTCACCAACATAAACCCACAGAGGAAACCTCAACTGCATGAAAACATGTTTTTTTCCAAGACATGATCACAGCAATTTTATTAAAATATATTCATTTAATCTTTGCGCTAAGATAATACAAATTACCTCCTCGCCTCAACGATCACCTGATATGCTGTTTTGGAGCCGAGAATGAAACAAACCCCTAAAAACACAGAGACGTTTGGACTTGATTGCTGAAACAGATGGTCCTTTATGTCATCACAGAGCCACAGCACGGCTGGGAGAAACGACAGTAAGACACACACTTCTGAATAAAAAGTGTGTTTATGTTCCTCCCTGAAATGTTTCATTTCGTTGTTATTACTCCCTCTTGCTCCTTGGTGTCAGGCTTGCTACTAATTTATTTTGCACTGACATTTGTTTTCCCCCCTCGAGTCCCTGATTCACCCCTGCTTCTCATTTCCAGCCCAGTGTCAGGTGAAGCTCCGGCGTCTTCATCTTCACCTTTTCATCTTCCTTATCTGCAATCGCTCCCTTATCAGTGCTGAGTGTGTGTTAGCGCCACCTTATATGTGCCGGCTGTCAACAGCTTGGTGTCTCACTCTGGTCCGACTGTTCCTGGTGGTCTCCCACCAAAACCACCGTGCTGTTTATCACAGGGCTGTTAAATCAGTACATTTTCTAAATAAACCACTTTTTAAACTTTATTCTGTTAGTATTGATGTCTGAGAGACGTATATTTTTTAAATACATGCCAGATACAGTATCTTTATATGGAAAAAGTAAATGGAAATTAGCAGATGCTCTATAAACAAAGTATGTTATTATTTATTTGACTGTCCGGTACTAAAAAAAACATGGACCATTACTGGTCCATGGGCCAGGGGTTGGGGACCCCAGCCAGAGAGTACATCTATACCCCGATGGTGCCATTCTTAAAGATTCAGCTTGATTTAACATATTGTGTATATTTGTGTACATATGTACTGTGTATATATAGTGAGTACAACAAAAGTCTTATTAGTCCTGCAGTGGATGAATCTGCACATTACTGCAGCCAGGGCAGTAAAGTACGCAGTAAGAGGAGTCGGTGGAATTGAAAAGTAAATGTACGCAGACTAATAAAAGACATTAGAGTAAATGCAATGTTTAAAACATTAAAAGTATTATAATATATAGAACAAACATATTTTAAATATAGAATAGAGGCTGATGTTGGCATTAC